TTTAGAATCAGAATAGTTCTAAATAAGAATTTTGTAATTTTAATCCAAATCATACTAGCCAAAATTAAAAATATTTTATTATAAACCTAATTCTAATCCTAATACTAACTCTAAAGTCTTAATTCTGCCAAAACAATTTAAAAGATATCTATTCAAGGTAGTCTAATTCTGAATCAAGAAGATTCCAATCTGGAGTACAACATATGAGTGCGTGAGAATAAAAACCTGGAACTGATTATAATGATTTACTATGATCAGTTACAGGTTTTCATTCTCACGCACTCATATATATTATATATAAAATAAAAAATTCAAAATTTTAATTTTTTTTAATATAATAATATTATATCTGCAATTAGAGTTCCAATCCATTAACTGTTTATTCATATATCCGTAATCTGTTATCAAGTATCCGATCTGAATTTATCCGGATATCCGTTTACTATTAATATCCGAATAATTTATTCGAATATTTGTCGGATTATCCAGATATGAATAAATGGATAACGGATTTTTATCTGGATTGGAACTCTATCTGCAATAATATAAATACGTATTTCAAATATTTTATAACATATAAATATAACAGTATTATTAAATATTTAATTATTTATTTAAAATTCTTTTAACTATTAATTATTTAACTTGTTTAATTGTTTAATTTAGCCAGCATCAATACTATTGTTAATAAGGTTGTTTAATAATATTAATTATGTAAATTAGTCAAAGAAAATTTGCATATTATTTTATTATTTCTTAAACTAGTGTTGTTAATAAACAAAATATATAAAAAAAAGCTAATAGCTCAAAATTTTATTTGTTATAACAACTTTATTTAAAGCGTTAAGTAAAATGATATATCACCAAATTTTACATATAATCACATAACTTTAATAATACATTTATAAACATAAACGTAAACCAACCAAAAAATTTATAGACATTTTTTTATACTGTTTAAAGTATTTTTAAAAAAATAAAACCACAAAGAATAAATAAACAAAAAGTATATAGAAAGTTTTATTAGAATTCTACAATTGAAAATAATTAAAATCTCTTTTTATTTTGGTATAAACCAATTTCGCCAACAACTATTTCGCCGACAAATTTTGACACGATTTAGTTGGGGTTGGCCTGCCTTATAGTTAGTGTTTGCTGGAGATTGTCGGCAAAGTGGCTGCCAAAACCTTTTATTTTAGCATGATAATCTATGCTAACTTCTTTAAAACAAAAGGTTATTTTTAATAGTAGAGTCATATGATCCTAATAAACCTTTCTATATACTTTTTTTAAATTTATTCTTTGTAGGTTTATTTTTTTTGATAAAAAAGTACTTTAAACTATATAAATAATATAAAATTAAATGACCAATCATATAAAAGTCTTTCTATGAATTACATGATTTACTCTCATAACTGTTAATGCTACACATATATTAAAACTGATGAAGGATTATATTCATCACAATTGAATCCAATATAAATAATTTACTTTGTGATTGATCACAGGAGAGAGGGATTCACTCTGAATCGGGCTCTGTCTCTGCTGTTTACTCTCATTAATCGGAGTATTAAAATATTCTTGAAGGCTATTATTACGTTAATAATAAATGTTAAAAAACCAATACTGTATTTTTAATCCTGTTGGTTTTACAGTACTTTTATGAAATATTTCTGTTACGCCCAGATTTACATTACCAGAAACGATGAAAATTTGATACAGATTTAACTATTTAGACTAATTAAGTTACTTTGCAATACTGAAAAATTCGATCTATTGATTAATTTCTACGCATTGTGAAGACTAGAATGGAATATGTGATAGTTTTTTCGTGAATCATACGTATATATCAATATATAATTGATGACATAAAATGTAATTTTCACAATGTTTAAATTTTATATTAGTTCAGTATGGTAAATATTGACGCAAAATATTCCGTTCATTACAAGCTGAGCAAATTCAAAAGAAAATTTGAATTTGAATGTATGTATGTTTAATTTTTTTATCATTATGATATAAAAAACTATGAGAAACTCGGTTTACATCCATATTTAATTCACATACTTATTTAATAGATTAAACGGCAAGACAAATTTGTAATTAAAAATTTGTAGGTCTAAATTAGAGTTGCTGGTGAAACTGGTGACTATTAAATGCAATAGCCAATCAGATTTTAGATAGTCACCAGTTTCACCAGCAACTCTAGTCTAAACTATAGTCTTTTTTTCATTGATTACATGAAACACTTCAGTTTTACAAGTTAAAACATTATAAAATTAAAATATAAAAAAATTTAATGTAAGCAATAATGTAGCATGATATATTGACACGTTTTGAACTAATTATCTGGGTATTAACCTATTACATGTTTATGCACCTAATTTTAATACCAAACTCACTGCGCATATGACAAGTGCCAATCTAGTTGAATAGGTTTGAACGGTTCAAAAACTACATGGAACTGAATGGGGTGCCATTTATTCGAAAATAATATCACATTCTATTGCATGCAATGAGACTTTACTCAATTATCTACCCTTTACACCGTTAAGGTATTTGCAGGCAAATTTGCTAGGCACAAAAAAGTAAACGAATTTTAATAAAGATAAAAAGGCTATACACTGCCAAAAATAATATTGGCAGAATGCACTCTAATAGACGATTTGCTCTTCTTATAATGATAAAGATCTTATGATTTTTGCAAGATCTTCAGAAAGTTATAAATCAATTTGACTGCAAAACGGTGTAAGGGATAATATATTCAAATCAACCTAAACCTACATGTAATTATCATTATATATTACTACTTAATCCAAAACCTGACGGCGAAGCAGCCCGCATATGCAACTGCTAGTTTAAATATATATGTTACGAGTCATGTTGATTTTTGAGTTAAATTAAACTTGACCCGGTCAAATTAATCAAACTTGGATCGCCATAATTAAACTAATTTGACTTGGTCAAATATTGATTAGTTACTAACGATAATAATTTTTCAATACGATTAAATAAAATTGCTTTAAAATTTTTTTTTTTTTTTTTTTTACAAAACGATGGAATCTTCCAAGTAAATCATCAATATATGAAATAAAATAAAAGATACAATCGAAGTATTTGTAATATAATAAATAAAAACAAAATATTTTACAATACTTAGAAAACTAGCGAAGATAAAGAAAATTATGAAATAATTTCTACTTTTCAAAAAATTCGCAACACAGTACAAATAAACTTAGAACACAACAGAGGGCTGGTTCGTGGTATAATGGAATCTAAATCGAATTTAAAAAAAGGGGTACTTTTAAAATTGGAGACTGTATTAAGGTTCCAGTTCCAAAAATTGATCAATCTAATACCGATCAGCGGATATGCCCCAAAATTTCATACCCTAATAATAAATTTACACATCGATTTTGGATAAAATAGATTTGAAGACAAAATTATTTTAAAAGAAAGAGGGTATTAAAATAGGATGTCAGATAAGTCCACCAAATATCGTTATTCTAGAGCCTGGAGAAAACGTTACGAAAATGTGGCAAAAATGTATTATAATGATGTTGGGCTTGATAGTAATGGATGTCTTTATTTAGCATCCAATGCTTGCAAAGTTGCATGTAACTCAGCCAGAAATATCTTTGTTACTGGATGGCTACACTGCTCCGTATCTTTTCTGGTTATGGAATTTTTAAATTAGCAGCTAATTTAAGGGTAATTTATTTAGATAAACTTGAGAAAGTGGTTGACTACATGGCTACATGCCATGTTCTAGAATTATTGTGAATTGCAAATAGACAATCTTATTTCATTCTCCCTCTCTTTCCAGTCATAAGACACAGTAATTATGCCCAATCTGTTACATATTTCTTATCATATATTGGGAAAATTTCTATTTTACAACAAATACTTAGGCATGTTTACTCTGTAAACTTAACATGTCCAGACCATTATTTTGCCTTTAATGAGGCTCTTGAAAGGTTTGGTGTTAAGTTTGTAAAACAAACTATTAGATCTGTAATTAAATTAAATTAATGAAGATCTAAAATCCCAAAATTATTTCATTACAATCCAAGCAAGAACACTTAAATTTGCTTTTAAGTAAATATATTGGTGAGAATTCATTAATTTCAACAGATGGGTCTGCAAAATCTCGTGAAGAAGCTATTTGAAATCTAGTGGATCAACTTTTAGAAGCATTCAGTCTACAAGATTCTACGCAGCATCAACTTTTTAAAGAAATGTCTCAAAATATTAACAATGTTATGATATAGGAAAGGATCGATTAAAAAACACTTACAAACAGGTCATTGAAAAATCAATACCACGAGATACATCAAGCAGACGTATTCAAAATATTATTGTTGAACCTTACAAACAGGTCATTGAAAAATCAATACCACGAGATACATCAAGCAGACGTATTCAAAATATTATTGTTGAACCTTGTGCTCAAAAATAGAATCACAAAAAAGGAAAGAAACAATAACATACGTATGTTACAAATGGTCATATTATATAAGTTTGGGGTTGCTCACAATATATTTTTATTATTTAAAAATCGTGTATTGTACATTATTATGTATCGTGTATTTTTTTTTTAACAAAAATAAAGATTTAACATTAGAAGTTTAAATACTTTATTGATATCCAATATTTCGGTTTATAATTAGATTCTACTTAGCATATTTATCTATAGCTACAGCCTGTATCTTTTTCACAAAGGCAAAAATTTCAAAATATCTTGGTAGCGAAAGCTTCACGTGACTATATGAACTAATCCAAGTGCATGTCGAGTAAGTCAATTGACATGTCAAATAAGAAGCGTCACTAAAAAAAATTTATAATGATCCTTCTGAATTTTATTTTTAATTACCATAAAAATTTTAGATGAAAGAAAATGCGATGCTAAAGAATGTATATCTAGAGTTTTAAAATAGATGTGACAAGCCATTTGATTATTAATGATTGACTGATATTGATCGGAATTTTTACCTTGTAAAATGTTGGAGATTCTTCAAGAAGGATATTATAAGCTTGGTTGTGCTAAATGGTATTTTAAATACTTGTTTTCGTGCATGTGGTATAGGTTCGTTAGAATAATCTGACTATTCTGAATTGAGTAAAGCTGTTTGTCATTGTAAAGAAAATTGTCTTTCTAAACGCAGTGCTTGTGGTAAGAATAATCTAAAATGTAGTAGTAGATGTCACGGCAGCAACATTATGGTCTGCCAAAATAAATAAGCGTAACATTATTTATGTGTTATTTAACTTTATACGTATTTACATGTACGTAGCGGTAAATAATATATTTTTTATATTGCATAAATGTATTGTTAATATATTTTTATATGAGTGCGGCTAAGGGAAAACTTCGATCTTGTTTTTTTTTGTGATTCATATGTTTCAGATCATGGCTGAGTTTATCAAAAAAAAATTAGATCGAGGTTTTCCCTTAGCCGCACTCATATGTAATAATTTACTTCGATCAAATTATTTAACTTTACTCAGCAAAATCAATTTGACCAAGTCAAATTAATAAATTTACATGGATTCAAGTTTGATTAATTTACCGGGTCGAATTTAATTCAACCTAAAACCATCTTGACTCGTAACAAAATAAGCGATTCGAATTCATGAATTTTATATATATAAAAAATACTATTATTTCTAGATACTGTATATATATGTATAAAATAAGTGATTTATAAACATTTATTATTTAATTTTATTTTCTTTAAAAGACAAAATGGTCGACTTTTCCAAAAAAAAATACTAGTTAAAGTTACGAATTAATGAAGTAAAAAACGAATGTTTAAATGTCACCGCGTAACAAAGATACGAAATTAGGTAAAAAAAAAAAAAAAGATCATAACACAAGTAACAAATACAGGCATAAGACATTTATATAAAATAAACGGCAAAGAAGATAAAAAACGATAAGCATAATGGAGAGTAATTGTTACATCGTAATATCTTTGATATTCTGAGCGATCACTTTTATAAAAACATGAAAAATAATTAGCACTTTAAAAAATAAAAATAAAAAATTAGAAAATTTATAATTACTTTTAAAAATCAAACGTTTTTGTGCTTGTTATACAACGAAGACGACGTTTGAAATAATCATCATCCAAAGCATGTTGCGTTTCTAAAATTTCTAGTGTGTCTTTGTTGTTTATATCCCAATACTTCCAAAAACTTTTTATTGCTTTTTATATAGTTCATCTTCAAGCGTTGAGTTGATTACTTTTTGTTAGGTTCTTTTTTGACTGTTGAAACATTAAAGCTCACTTGGTTTTCGTGATTACGTATAACGATTCATGAAGATTTACTTATTAACTTTATTTAAATGGGAATTATTTGCTAATCAACATATTTAAATAAACAGTTCATGAATATTAACTAATCTTATTCTTTTTCGTATTAATTTAGAAGTATAAAATAAATGGGTCCAAGGACTCATGTAAAATTTTTTAACTATATCTTATCGAACTCCTGAAATTCGTCTTTTTTGATAATAAGCATCTATAGTATTAATCTATATAATTATGCATTTTTAATATCTGCCTATATAAGAGTAAAATCAAATGAGAAATGATGGTTTCGACCTTCAAACAAGACTGAAAGAAGGGTATTTTTTCAAGTACGGTGCACGACACTTAAAGACTACACAATTTTAAAGATTAATAACTTAATATATAAAAATTATACAAAAAAAAAT